TTTTATTAGGATGTTTTAATGGGCTGCCCGTATGATTTATCGTTTTAAAAAGGTGGCCTAGCAATTCGTGTATCACTGACACACATACGAAGCCTACCCACTATACATTGCTGGCTCCTTTTTAAGTCCATCTTTAACCGTGCGAACGGCAGAGATGGACGAGACTCTCCAGCAAGAAGGCAAAGAGAGAAGTGCACTCCATTACCCCCGTTAACCTTTAAATCCCACCAGTGTGTGCCCATTCGCAATCAGGCCAGTGGGACTTGATGTCATGATAGGGTTTTTGTCAAATGCTCGCATCCCCCACAAGCATCGCTGCCACCGTCTCCACCACCACGGTCCATGCCTGCATGCACCTGCAGCAGAAGGGCAGAAGTGGCAGTGGCGGCGTCATCGTTAGTATCGGCGTAAAAAAAGGACATTAACGCCACTCAGGTTGTGTGTATGCACACACACACACACACGAACACGCACAGTGAATCAGGTGTTAGTCACGACGACACACGGGCGACAAAAAGGGGCATGGCAGGAGGGAGGAGGGACCTAGGAGGAGCAGAAAAAACACCCTAACAATCATGATTCAGCATTCTAAGACTTTGCACACACACCTGCACACACGCCCGCTCCATTGATCATTATATCAAGCACAGCCAGTAAAGCTAACTTGGGATGTGTTTGTGTTTCCTTCTTTTCGAGTAGCATACTGAGTGTGTTGTCTTGCACACTTCCTTCTATTCTTCGACACTGACCATAAATCCGCTAATTCAACTTAACGTAATCCCGTCAAAATTTCAAAGTCATAAATGTGGCTCAACGTGGACACTACAAACTGATCATTCGCCATATCTAACATATCAGCGGTTAAACTGTGTTGGACTTTAGCCAGTGACAAATTCAGTTGGTCTTCAAGCATGCTGCAGGCGAGTCGTAGAACCTAAGACATTTCCCCCATTTGATCGAATCTTACATCTTGTTAAAAACTAACTAACTAACTGATGACGGGCCTATTAACCGAGTCATGCCATGCTTGTAACCAACCTCTTCAAATGTTGTTGCTGTCACACTTGCAGGGCATTTATTTTTTTGTGCGCCTCCGTTGTGGTTTGCCAAGAGGTTGAATTTGTTTGCAAAAGCCTCAGCTCTTCCCATCACTGCGTGGCTAGTTTGTCTTACCAAGGTCTTAAAAAGTGATGTGTACCAGAGTGTGCTGTTTCTTTTCTTGGTGGGTTCATTTTCATTCATCACTGCCACAGGATTCAGGCGCGTATCACTTTTGTTTCGGCTTTTGGAGGGAATGCTTGCATTCCATTAATCAAACATCTCAACAAGCGTCTGATGCCTTCTAGTTATGTGTTTTTTACGTCAACTTCCGCCTCTTTGAAGCTCAACAGTACCTTCAATTTACTAAAACTTAGTGAAGTGTGCAGAGAACGAAGAAGCAGACGTGGTCAGTTCCGTGGGACCTTGCCTAATCTATGAGGCATTCTAATTTGTCTTTGAAAGACTCCTTTCGGCAAAAATATTAACCCACTGCTCTGATCAATTGAGAGTGGAAATTTTAGACGCAGAAATAGGGCGGATTCACACGGAATCATACCATGTGAACGTGTAACTGCGATACTCTTATTTCCTTCTCTAAACGTCATCGAACCACAAATTCTGAGATGCAGAACTCCTCACTACGCAAAGTGCTTCAATAGTAAAACCTTAAATGCAACGAAATGGCCAGACGGAGAAGGGGACACGGTGGGAAAACCGCAGTCCTTGTTGTGGCTCCAAATGTATGCACTAGCGTGGATACTAACCAACTTGGCAGCTTTCTTGAAATCATTTTCGAAGCATGTAAAATCAATCTCACACTTACTGTTTTCATATCCATAGCACCAAAAAAATTTTGGAAAGTGCAATCCTCAGTGTTTGAGAAGAGGGCGAAGTATTGGTGGTATGCTGTGTACGAGGCAGGAGAGTAAAAGCATTAACAAATAAGATTCTTGGTAGAACGTCCTACAAATTGCTCTTTTGTCGTTACTTTGTGTTGCCACAGGAACTACAGTAATTGGTAATGTGTTTAAGCGATTCATTCAAAAACAAACTAAAGTTGAG